GAAAACTTGGTTTCTGCTGTCCCTTACCTGCTCCCTCTAAAGTTCCACTCTACCCAGCGAACTCCTATCATTTCTGTAAGATTTACCTCCTCCAAGTAACCTGACCTCCTAAGTCATACCTACATCCTGTGTTTGGGGGCCATTTTTCAATGTTGCAGGAATAGTCTGCACAATATGGAAAGTGGAAAAAACAGCTTATAATCATGGCTATATTCGATAATCAATAGCTATTACTTAGTAGAGGTAGAGTTAAGTTCTTGTGGGAAATATGTTCACTGCTGTGTCTCTAGCATCCAGAAGAATGCCTATCATATAGTAGGTGCTCATGAAATAGTTTTTCTTGGATATGTCTTTGTCTGTGTTACATGATGTTCTTGACTGTTCAAGAGCTAAGATATAAAGAAAAAAAAGAATGTTCCATGGGTTGGGGACCTGCAGAGGTAGAGTGGATAACTACTGGTTGGTCATGTTTTAGATTCCAACTTTATTTTTTATTTATTTTTTTTATTTTTTTGAGATGGAGTTTTGCTCTTGCTGCCCAGGCTGGAGTGCAGTGGCATGATCTCGGCTCACTACAACCTCCACCTCCCAGGTTCAAGTAGTTCTCCCGCCTCAGCCTCCCGAGTAGTTGGGATTACAGGCATGTGCCTCCACGCCCAGCTAATTTTGTATTTTTAGTAGAGACGGGGTTTCTCCATATTGGACAGGCTGGTCTCGAACTCCCAACCTCAGGTGATCCACCTGCCTCAGCCTACCAAAGTGCTGGGATTACAGGCCTGAGCCACCACGCCCGGCCTAGACTCCAACTTTAAAATAAGGAATGTAAGGAGTTAAGAGTATTGGGAGATCCCTTTTGGTGCTTTATTTCTGCAAAGTGATGCAACAGTTTCAGTGTACTCTTGTACTTGTTTGTCCTGTACTCTTGTACTTGTTTATCTAGCTGGAGGATGGAAATTGAAAGCACAAGGAGCTATCTCAGGTGACTTACGTTGTTCTGATTCCTCTCCCTGGATGCTATATAAAGATAGCTTATTTTTATTTTTCCCCTTAATGGCCATGATTTCAAAGAGACGCATTTCATATGTGCTATCCCATACAGTCTGGTTAAATTGGTCCAAGTGTTTTTATAATTGGATGACTGAACTACTTTGAAATAAACGTTATTTGTGTGATAATGCCAATGTGAAAGTATAGCAGATATTAAAAAAGCACAAACTGAGAGCACTGGAGTTTGGACTGTGATAGCTATAGCTTCTGTCTCAGCATTACTGAACTCATTAATGAACTCAGCATTAGTTCCCAAATACTTTCCTAATTTATTTAGGGGCAATTTTGCCCCTTCTCCTCTCTACATGACTCCGGCGGGTCTCATTCACAGTGTCCCCCCTACCCCATGACCGTCCTTGAGATTCCTGTATGAACAGTGACAGCTAAGTCAGCTTGAGCTGCGTTTGGGGCTCCCTGCAGCTTTTTGCTTACTACATGCAGCGATCCTTTGTGTATGATGAAGCTGAGGGGAGCTGAGAGTTGGAGAGAGTCCTGATAATATCAGAGGTCTGGATCCAGCCATGTGGAAGCTAGAACTATTGTAGACTTCAGACTTCCTGTTTATGAAGGGAAAACATTTTCCTTTGTGTTTAAGCTAGTTTGAAACAGGTTGCTGTCACAAGCAAGTGAAAAAAAAATCTTAAAATATTTTGGGTGAATATTTGAGTTAAATAAAAGAGCTGATACAAAACATCAAAAGCTATGAGAATACTGCTAAGATTTCCAGTTAACCTGCAGAAGCAAAAGAGATCTGGGGGAGTGTTAAGGTTATGGGTTAATATCAGGCTGACTTATCTTAATATTTTGCTGATTTGTCCATCTTTTTCAATTTTTTTATTAAGAACAGGTAACATGAGATCTACCCACTTAACAAATTTTTATATTTATAAGCACAATGTTGTACAGCAGATCTCTAGCACTTACCTTACGTAACTGAAACTTTATACCCATTGAACAGCAGCTCCCTACTTCCCCTCTCGCCAGCCCCTGGCAACCACCATTCTACTCTCTGCTTCTATGAGTTTAACTGTTTTATGCAGTATTTGTCTTTCTTTCACTTAGCACAATGTCCTCAAGATTCATCCATTATCCTGATTCATCCATTCTGTCACATATGGCAGGATTTCCTTATTTTGGAGTCTGAACTTATAATGACTTAGATGATAAATATTGTGCAGAATATTCCTGCAACATTGAAAAATGGCCCCCAAACACAGGATGTAGGTATGACTTAGGAGGTCAGGTTTCTTGGAGGAGGTAAATCTTACAGAAATGATAGGAGTTCGCTGGGTAGAGTGGAACTTTAGAGGGAGCAGGTAAGGGACAGCAGAAACCAAGTTTTCAGGAACAGTCATGAAGGTCTGAGTGGCATATGCACCTTTTCTACATATCTATGTTGCAGAGTCTAAAACAGAAATGAGGCTGGCTAGGGAGGCAGTAGCCTGACTGCAGAGAGTCTTGCTGCTTATGCTGGGCCAAGAACTCGGTATTTGACTCCAGGCAATCAGGAACTACTGAAAGATGTTAAGGAGTGGAAGCATGGTGACAAACAGAAATTTATGTGAGAATGACCACCCTGTAGGCATTTGAAAGATGGATTTGAATGGACTGAGACTAGAAGCAGGAGACCGGGAAGCTCTTTTGGCAATGATGCAGATAAGAGATGATGGGGGTCAGAAGAAAGAAAGAGACAGGTAAGAAATAGGAGGTAAAATTGGCAAGGCTGGGTGATTATGTGTGGGAAGAGAAAAGGAGGGAAGAGTCACAGTTAACACTGGATAGGAACTTAGGTGACTGGCTGGGTCACTGGGCTGCAGGCAGGGCCAGGCTTGGGGTGTGGAGGCAGTGGGGTCATGAGTCACAACCAAGCGCTGGTATGTTCCACCCTCTGTGGGATACACCAGTGGAGATGGCCAGCTGGGGGCTGATTCTCAAGTTCAGGAGAAAGTCTTGACTGGATCCCAGTTTGGTAGCCATCAGTAGGTTGGTAGGTATTTTAAACAAGGGAATATGAGGACCAAGGGAGAACATACAGATTGGCAAGAAAAGGAAACCCAAGTCCATGCCTTAGGGGCCACCACATTTAATGGCCCGGTAATAACAGCAGTGACTAATGTGTAGCAAGTGCTCATTGTATTGTACATGGAGTGGCTTTAATCCTCAGCAACACCAGAAATTAGCACCATTATCATCCTCAATTTCACTAATGAGGAGGCAGACCCAGAAAGCCTGAGTTCCCACTGCCACATGGTCAGTAGGGGAGTCTGAGAATCTGATTCCAGAACCCAAGCCCTTAGCTTCTGTGCTCTGCTGCCTGGGAAGGAAACGAAGAAGAGAGAGAATATGGAGAACTGGGAGAGCACCTCAGAAGCTGAGGGAAGTGCTGTTTCAAGGAAGGAGTCATCCATGATCTCAGGAGCTGAGCAGCCCACTGAGCAGGCTGGGAAAACTGCGCTGTAGACTTGGCGGGGAGAGGCCTCCTTGGGCAGTTGAGGGCACTGGAGCAGCTCAAGGTGAGAACGGGGAGATGAGGAAATGGAGACAGCAAGTGTGGGCTATTGTGAAAGGTCTGATGAGAAAGGGGGCGACAAGAGGCAGCCGTTACAGTGGAACACAGGTTTGTTTTTAACGGGAAATCAAGCGTGCTTACGGTGTGGGAAAAAGCCAAGGTGAACTCAGTGATACAGGAGGGTGGGGAGAAATTGCTGGAACAAAGCTCTATGTAAGAGTCTTCATTTACCACTGTTCACCCCTGCCCCTCAAGACACTCTCATGCATTTGCTGCCATGTTTCCATATTCCCCGACTTGCTTCTTACCTGTATTGACGAGACGAATCCTGAATCTCCTTTGGGGCTCTCAGTTCTGTCTATCCTTGCAATGATTTACCCTCAGCTATCTTTTCATGCATAATTCTCCAGGCAATCTTACTCGCCTATGTGCTGAAAACCCCAAAATCAATACGCCAGCCTAGACTCACCCACCCAGATTCCTCCATCCAACTGATTCCAACATGTCCTTTTATGTGCGTCTTCCCTCGTTCTCAGCACGTCGATTCCTTTGGGGTCGCTCAGTTGTGAATACCGTCGCATCCAGTTCCCTCCCTGCCTCCAACACATCCACCTTCTTCTTCTTCTCTGGATTGTGACTTTGGTGCCATCTCCACCAGAGTCTTTCCGTAACCCTTCATGACTCCTGCAGCGCTGTTCTTCCCCTGCTGTGGTTCTTACTATATCAGAGTTGCTGCTGACATGTCTGTTTGCTTTTACTGAATGTAAACTACTAGAGGGTAGGGCTTATGTCTTATTCACAATTACATCCTTTTTCTTTAGTAAGAAATGAGATTGGAAAACTTAGAAGCACATGTAAGGGATTGACACCTCGAAAAGGAGAGAGCACATGGTTCTCTGGGACTGGACTGAGGGAGATGAGAATAGACACTGATCTGTATGTGTTTATAGGTTGCATGGGAAGTTGAGGGGCTTAGGGACACAATTTGCATAGTAGAGTAGGAGGTAAAATGGTTTCCTGAGAATGAAGGAGAGGGGCTTGGGTTTGGGGATTGAGTGCAGTCATGAAGATACAGGCAGGCTATGGAGAGGCCAGGGAGGGAGAAGGACCCAGAGGAGAGCCATCCCCCTCGAGGGCGGGAGCATGGTGCCACCTCCTGCAAAGTGGCATCTTTCCCACTCCTCAGAGCGTCCTGGATTTTGAGTGTGTTTCCTGTTCCATGTAGAGATGGGTTTCTTCAGAATGGTCTAGGTCTACCAACCGATATTTTTACCTGTAAGTTATGAAGTTCTTTTTACCTGTGAGAAGTTATTCTTTTTACCTATGATAAAAATAGTGGGCTCTAAGGACAGAATCGTAGTCTGGGAGCTAAAAGATACGCTGCACATATCCCTACTTTCTTAATCTTCTGTTTCCCAAATATGTACATATGGAAAAATAAAGATTGAGGTAAAATTCTTGTGCTTTATTTCTTTAAAGAATGAAAAATGCCCATGTTTCTTTCAGTAATAAAAATGGAAATATGCTTATTTGACAGTTTTGTTGTGAACATGACCAAGTTACGAATTTTAAAATTCATTCTTTAGGTTGGCAAATTCTGATAATAAAATAACAGTAACTGTTTTCAACAAAAGAATTTTCTAAGCACTGCTTCTGTTAACCAGACACTTGTGACTGATCCACTTCAGAGCACAGTGCTTTACATTAACCATGTAGAGATCCACACACACACATATGTATCTCCATACATACATACATACATACATACATACTGTAAGATCAAGTGGAATGCTATTTTTACATGTAGTGGTCACATCTTTATGAACTGTGAATTTGGGTCCTGTAATGGCACTGGTAAGTGAAGTATTCAAACCGAGCTTGATGGATGGAAGAGGTCGTTGAGAAACACCTGAATGCCTTTTCTTTGGGGAGAGAGTAATCAATTACCAAATTCATGCAAAACAAAAGTGGTTCCCTTTACTCTGGCGGATGTACCTGCTCCGGGCAGCAAGGAGCCTTCTGTGTAGCCTTCGCCACTGACAACATGCTACTGTTACTGTAAATGCAAATACGCTATCTTTCTACAACAGCCATATCCCTTTTTTTTTGTTTCAAAAGTATCACTAAAGGTGGCTGCAATTTACATTGTGAATATATAGCAGTCTGTTGAAGGAATCATCTGTTATTAGAATAGCCTGAGTATTACCCCAGCAGAAGATGCTACAACCTCTAAATTCCCTGTGCTAGATGTAGCCCATGAGTTCTTTTATTATTTTATTAATAATAAATATATTTGAAAAATCCTATGCTTCAATGGATTTCTCCGATAAGGACTGAAGCAAGTCCTTATAGACAGCAGAGTTCATGAATCGAGGATATGAGTCTCTGTGCATCAGGGTGTAAATCTGAAGTTGAGCATCATCGAATATGTGTTGGGATGGCTCCACCATGTTTCTGTTGATGACTTCTCTCACCCGGGAGTCTAAGCTCACCTGTCGACAGAAAGGAGAAGGAGCTGTATTAGAGACTTTAGGTTGTGTATCTATCCCAAACTCCTACAGCTTGTGGGGTTTTTTTTTTGTTGTTGTTTTTGGTTTTTTTTGTTGTGGTTTGTTTTGTTTTGAGACAGAGTCTTACTCTCTCGCCCAGGCTGGAGTGCAGTGGTGCAATCTCAGCTCACTGCAGCCTCCGCCTCCCGGGTTCAAGCAATTCTCCTACCTCAGCCTCCCGAGTAGCTGGGATTACAGGCACCCACCACCTCACCCGGCTAACTTTTGTATTTTTAGTAGAGATGGGGTTTCTCCATGTTGGCTGGTCTCGAACTCTTGACCTCAGGTGATCTGCCCGTCTCGGCCTCCCTAAGTGCTGGGATTACAGGTATGAGCCACTGCGCCCGGCCTTGTTGTGTTTTAAATATCCCAAACCAAACAAGATAATCCAAAAAATCCAAACCGCCAAAAGAGAAACCAAAAGCATAATCAGCGCGGTTCTCAAATGTCAGTGGCATCAGCAGGCTCCAGAGGGCTTGTGAGAGCAGTTGCTGGGCCCCACCCGAGACTCAGTAGGTGCAGGGGCCCCTGATCGCTTGTTACTGCCTGCAAGTTCTAAGTGATGCTGGCGGGGCTCACACTGCTGCTTTGAAGAAAACAGGCAGCACAGACTGCCCCTTGCTCATTTCCTTGTAACATGGGGGCTGATGCGTGGAGGCCCAGGCTTCCCCTGCTGGCCCACAGTGGCAGGGCTCTGGGGATGAGTGCTGGCCTGCCCAGAGGGTTGGGCACAGGGGTGAAGTAGGAAGTTGACTCAAAACCCTGGAAGGTTCCAATCACAGGGCCTGAGAGCAGACGATGCCTGTGTTTAAATTCCAGCCCTGGCCGGGTATGGTGGCTCACACCTGTAATCCCAGCGCTGTGGAGTTCGAAACCAGCCTTGCCAACATGGCAAAACCCCATCTCCCTACGAAAAATAAAAAAATATTAGCTGGGCATGGTGGCAGGCGCCTGTAATCCCGGCTACTCAGGAGGCTGAGGCAGGAGAATCGCTTGAACCTGGGAGGGGGAGGTTGCAGTGAGCTGAGACTGCGCCACTGCACTCCAGCCTGGGCAACAGAGCAAGACTCTATCTCAAAACAGACAGACAAACAAAACGAACCTGTCACTGCATTGTTGTGAGGCCTCAGGCAAGGTAAACTCTGTTCTAGTGAGCTCCTCCCCTGAAGTGGGGATGATGATGATGGTAGTGTCTTATGTTTTTGGTGATTTAATGACAAAGTGCTTGGATTTCACTAAGCCCGTAGATGTTGATTGCTCTGATGTTTGGCTCTTCCTAGACATGGTGATCTACCTGCCTCGGCCTCCCATAGTGCTGGGATTACAGGCGTGAGCCACCGTGCTCGGCCTGTGTTTTGGTTGTATAATACTTTAAAAGACTGATGGGCCGGGCGCGGTGGCTCAAGCCTGTAATCCCAGCACTTTGGGAGGCCGAGGCGGGCGGATCACAAGGTCAGGAGATCGAGACCATCCTGGCTAACACGGTGAAACCCTGTCTCTACTAAAAAATACAAAAAACTAGCTGGGCGAGGTGGCGGGCGCCTGTAGTCCCAGCTACTCGGGAGGCTGAGGCAGGAGAATGACGGGAACCCGGGAGGCAGAGCTTGCAGTGAGCTGAGATCTGGCCACTGCACTCCAGCCTGGGCGACAGAGCGAGACTCCGTCTCAAAAAAAAAAAAAAAGAAAAATGAGACTGATGAAAAACTTTGCCTTAAAAAAAAATCATGACAAAATAAAAATATGTGGAAGCCATAAATTAAAGAACAAAAATTATCTTGCTCTTTATTAGTCCAAAATGAAAATAACTTTCTGGACTCAGTATTCAAACATGTCAACTGAGTATTACCAATTTAACAACCCGAACTTAAGAAAGCAAAATGTAACGACACAAAATTAAGTAAGCCAACGACCCCACCACCTGGTCTGCCTACACCAGGCATATGGGAGTCCTTTGAGATGGTGGGTTTGCCTCAAATCCAACCCTTCCTCTCTAGTGTCTTTGGCTGGCCTAGCTAGCCCCTTGCCACGTCCCTTTGGGCTCCTGAATTAGTTTTCTAAAGTCTTCTGCCCCTCATCTTCTCCAAATCCATTCTGCAGCCCTATTGGTCTTTCAAAAATCAAAATGTGATGATACAAACGGGCTAAAATCCAAGGGCTTCCCAAGATAAAAATCTGGACACTTCGGCATGATGCCCAAACCTGCTCTCTGACCCCTTCTCTCTTAAAGTCTCCTCCCGCTGCCTGCCCCCAGGCCTAATAGTTTGGTAAGCACCCTCCCCTTCCGGCACAACAATCTATGTACACTTGCAGTGATCACACAACTTCATGCTCTTCTCCTGGGCTCGCCTGGGCCTGTCTCCTGGGATGTCGCCATCCTGCTGTGTTTGTGGAAATTTCCTTTGCACTATCCTTGGTCCATCTGTAGCCTCCTTGAGTATTTTTCTCATTCTCACCCACCCGTTTGTGGATGGCTCACCCCCGAGCCCCAGTGAGTGCTGAGCGTGTGGCCAGGGGTCCTGGTCTGCCTGCCCACATCTCCAGGAGCTCCATGACAGGAGAGGCCCTGCTTCTTCAACCTGACATTCCTGTCAGCACATAGTAGGAAATAACCAATAGTTTTATAATGAGAGCTGCAGGGCACCCAATTGTGAGAACAATCTGACCTCCTAAATTTTATTATTTTTTTGAGGTGGAGTTTTGCTCTTGTTGCCCAGGCTGGAATGCAATGACGCAATCTCTACTCACTGCAACCTTCGCCTCCCAGGTTGAAGCGATTCTCCTGCTTCAGCCTCCCGAGTAGCTGGGATTACAGGTGAATGCCACCACGCCCGGCTAAGTTTTTGTATTTTTAGTAGAGATGGGGTTTCACCATGTTTGGCCAGGCTGGTCTCGAACTCCTGACCTCAGGTGATCCACCTGCTTCGGCCTCCCAAAGTGCTGAGGTTACAGAAGTGAGCCACTGTGCCAGGCCTGACCTCCTACATTTTAGATCTGAAGTAACTGAAACTCTGACAGGTGGAAACTTGCCCAATCTCATTCAACTGATAATTTCCTGAATGTGAAAAGGCCAGCCTGGGGAAAACCTTTTCCGCATCAGTATCACATCTGTGATGCTGCTGGCCTGTAACATCAAGATACCTAAAGACAATATTTTTCTCAGAATAACAAGATAATTTTATTTAAAGGAACTTCTTAGGGTGTAATGTTTGTAAACAGTGTTCACCATCAAATGCAGACTCCAGGGGATACTTTTTCCAGAAAAATGCACAAAAGTTTTCACAGATTTCAGAGGACACTTGCAGCCCCTCTGCAGGTCCACAGTCAAAGGGATCTGAATACTGTGAATGAGGGTGCAGCTGTTTGGTCATGTTCAGCTTGACCCAGAACAGCAACTGCAAAATGTAGAAAACAGCTGCACCCGCCTTCACGGTATTCAGATCCCTTTGACTGTGGACCTGCAGAGGGGCTGCAAGTGTCCTCTGAAATCTGTGAAAACTTTTGTGCATTTTCCTGGAAAAAGTTAAAAGTAATGGCGAGGCCAGGCACAGTGGCTCATGCCTGTAATCCCAGCACTTTGGGAGGCCAAGGTAGGTGGATCATGAGGTCAAGAGATCAAGACCATCCTGGCCAACATGGTGAAACCCTGTCTCTACTAAAAATACAAAAATTAGCCAGGCGTGGTGGTGCGTACCTATAATCCAGCTACTCTGGAGGCTGAGGCAGAAGAATCGCTTGAACCCGGGAGGCAGAGGTTGCACCGAGCCAAGGTCGTACCATTGCACTCCAGCCTGGGCGACAGAGTGAGACTCTGTCTCAAAAAAGAAAAAAAGAAAAAAAAGGTGATCACTTTTGTTTAGTTTTTTGAGATGGAGTTTCGCTCTTGTCACCCAGGCTGGAGTGCAGTGGTGCAATCTCAGCTCATTGCAACCTCTGCCTCCTAGGTTCAAGCGATTCTCCTGCCTCAGCCTCCCAAGCAGCTGGGATTACAGGCACCCGTGACCACACCAGGCTAAGTTTTGTATTTTTGGTAGAGACGGAGTTTCACCATGTTGGTCAGGCTGGTCTCCAACTCCTGACCTCAGGTGATCTGCCCGCCTCAGCCTCCCAAAGTGCTGGGATTACAGGTGTGACCCAACGTGCCCGGCCTGTGGCAGTTGCTTTTGCACCAAGTTAATACTTTTACCATCAGCCTTGGGAGAAGGCATTTCGTGGTCACATACCTCCTTAGGAGAAAGTATAGAAATGTAGTCTTCATAGATTATCCTTGCTTTCTCTTCAATAATGTTTTTATTAGCTTCCTTTTTCAGTTCCTCACAGGCCATCCAGAAGAGCATATTTTCTTCACTGAATTCTGTTCGGAGGAATTCACGGAATGCATTCCTTCCTGCTGGAGTGACCATTAATTTGTCGAATGACTGAGCCCAGGCATTGACTTCTTCCAGAGTAGGAGCAGGGCTTCGTGGAGACCAAAAGAGAGGGGGCATAGGGGAACTGTTAGTGGTAGTTAATTGGAATTTCATCATTAGAAATTATCTTTTCCTCCTCCAAGAATGAAAAATATATGCATCGAGGCCCTTTTAGGAAGGGGAAGAGCTGTTCTCCTTTCCTCAAGCCTTTGGGAAAAACACATGAATATGATACTTTCACATTGTTTGCTGGATTGCATACCAAAAGGCTTGCAAACCAAGTTGCTATAATAACTGCTAAGAACATGCTTGTTTACAACTGGGCACATCTTGCAATATTTTAAAAACTATAAATGTAAAGAAAAATCCTACAACCATCTGACCCAAAACTTCCTAATCACCTGTGATGAGTTCTGTACTACAACGGAACTAAGTCAGGTTTGACAACATTAAACCTCTAGAACAACAGAGCAAGTGTCTGCTTAATGTATTTTAAAATTATGTAATATTTGAGAAAGAGAATATATGTAATATAAATGCAAGTTATAAATGCCACCACTGTACTGTCCAAAGGTGACAACAAAATGAACACTTTTTTTTTTTTTTTTTTGAGAGTCTCGCTTTGTTGCCAAGGCTGGAGTGCAGTGAGGTGATCACAGCTTACTGCAGCCTCGACTTACTATGCTCATATGATTCTCTCTCCTTGGCCTCCCAAGTAGCAGGGACTACAGGCAGGTGCCACCATGCCCAGCTAATTTTTTGTATTCTTTGTAGAGTCAGGTCTTACTACGTTGCCTAGGCCGGTCTCAAACTCTTAGGCTCAAGCGATCCACCCACCTTGGCCTCCCAGAGTGCTGGGATTACAGGTGTGAGCCACTGCGTCCGACTCACTTTTTAAAAAATATTACAAACATTTAAAAAATATAATTAGGGGGTACAAGTGCACTTTTGTTACATGGATACATTGCACAGTGGTGAAGCCTGTGTTTTTAGCGTAGCCATCAATGGGATAGTGTGCATTGTAATCGTCAGGTAATTTCTCATCCCTTACCTACCTCCCACCCTCCCATCCACCTTTCCCAGTCTCCAGTGTAAATGAACACTTATGAATGGGCCATTTTCCTTAAGAACCAGAATAGCATCGACAATGTTGCATTTATTTTGGTGCTACTTCTACTTGCTACTGTCTCCCGGCTTCGTCCCCTAGGGAACTGCTATATTTGATTTTGGGGTTACCCCTTTGAGTTAATTCTTACTTCTGTCATAATTATATCGAGATCAGAAAACATAGCTTAATAATGATCCTTAATATCTCTTTTAGTTTCCATAGTTTTAAATGTATATATGTAACCCTCAAAAATGTAGTCTTTAGTTTTTATTTATTTATTTATTTATTTTTTAAGACAGAGTCTCTCTGTCACCCAGGCTAGAGTGCAATGGCATGATCTCGGCTCATTGCAACCTCCGCCTCCCAGGTTCAAGCGATTCTCCTGCCTCAGCCTCCTGAGGAGCTGGGATTACAGGTGCTCACTACCACACCCAGCTACTTTTTTGTATTTTTAGTAGAGATGGGATTTCATCATGTTGGCCAGGCTGGTCTGGAACTCCTGACCTTGGGTGATCCACCCACCTTGGCCTCCCAAAGTGCTGGGATTACAGGTGTGAGCCACTGGTAAGTATAATGCAAATATTCTGAAATCTGAAAAAATCTGAAATCTGAAACATTTCTAGTTCCAAGCATTTTGGATAAGGGATACTCAAACTGTATTTCAATCTCCTTGTTATATGGGTCTTTTTGGATACCTTCAGGTTCACCAATTATTTATTTAGCTGTATCTAATCTTCTATTTCAATCATCAATTTTAAAACAATTTGAACAATAATATTTCATTTTTAAAACTTCTATTTTGTTTGTTTTCAAATCTTCCAGGTCATTTTTTTTAAGAAATGTGTTAACAGGCTGGGCACAGTGGCTCACGCTTGTAATCCTAGCACTTTGGGAGGCCAAGGCGGGTGGATCACCTGAGGTCAGGAGTTCGAGACCAGCCTGGCCAACATGGTGAAACCCCATCTCTACTAAAAATACAAAAATTAGCCAGGTGTGGTGGTGGGTACCTGTAATCCCAGCTACTTGGGAGGCTGAGGCATGAGAATCACTTGAACCCGGGAGGCAGAGGTTGCAGTGAGTCAAGATCGCACCACTGCACTCTACCCTGGGCGACAGAGCTAGACTCCATCTCCAAAAAAAAAAAAAAAAAAAGAAAAGAAATGTGTTAACAGTGTTTACTCTCTTAGAGGTTAGATCACTTTCTTTACTTATATACCATTTAATTTTTGGCAAGCATCTATAGCTTTTTCTTTCTCCCTCTCCCTTTCGTTTTATTACTTATTTATTTATTTATTCATTTATTGAGATGGAGTCTTGCTCTGTCTCCTAGGCTGGGGTGCAGTGGTGCAGTCTTGGCTTACTGCAACCTCCGTCTCCGGGGTTCAAGCAATTCTTCCTGCCTCAGCCTTCTGAACAGCTGGGATTACAGGCGTGTGCCATCATGCCCCGCTAATTTTTGTATTTTAATGAAAAGGGGTTTCACCATGTTGGCCAGGCTGGTCTCAAACTCCTGACCTCGGGTGATCCACACACTTCGACCTTCCAAAGTGCTGGGATTACAGGTGTGAGCCACCGTGCCTGGCCACCGTTTATTATATAACATATTTTTATTTAAAAAAAATAAAAGTTTGTTATATAAAAATATAATATGTTTTGTTAGGAAGCATCTATTTGTATTTGCAATTAGCAAGGGGATTAGACTAATAATAGAACTGATTTCTCTCCCTGTCACACGATGAATTAAATGGAATTCTGCAGGGGAGGAATGTGAGGCCACATGATGATTGGATGTTACTAAATTGCAGTTAGAGAAAGTGTGTGTTCTGTTGAAACATACAAGGCAAAGAAAAGAAAGAGGTTAGTATTTCTGTTAGTTTAGTGAAGTAAAAGAACGTGCGATTTCACCTTTCTTCCCAGGTTGGAAGGTCTGCTCTGAGTTCATGGGAAGCTATTGTGGGCCTCTGATCTTCCTGGTTTCTAACAGTGAGACTGCAAAAAAAGAGACATTCACATGTTGACAGCTCAGTCTCTGCCAAGAAAAGATTTTTTACAAATATTTTAAAGATAACTTCAGATCCCGAAGTATTAATAGAATTTCTTCCTCTGCTTGGAAAAGAAAATGACCCCAGTTAGTTTTCCCAAGCAAACCAAAAGCATGACAGTAAGATACTAGAAATGTAAATTATAACATTGTGGTTTCTACTATTGAGAAAGAGTTAGAAATTATTGTGTTCAATTATACTTAGAATAATGATTTTTTAAATAAAAACAGATTCATTAGAAAATAGTAAAAAAGGGTTGGGCATGGTGGCTCATGCCTGTAATCCCAGCACTTTGGGAGGCCAAGGCAGGAGGATCGCTTGAGGCCAGGGGTTTAAGACCAACCTGGGCATCATAGCAAGACCCCGTCTCTATTTAATACACAAATTTAAAAAATGAAAATAGTAAAAAGTAAGACTGTCAGGAATGTTATGGGGTTTCATTTCATTTTTTGTATCTTAAAAAAGTGTACATCCTCTAGGCTTTGTTTCCAGTCAAAATGGAGGCTTCATATATTTATAGGCACATATACAAAAGTAGTAGAGAAAACTAGGAAAGTGCATAATCAAAATCTATGTATTTCTCTAAAGAGTTTGTTTTCTTATACACATTCTGTACATTTGTCTGTAAACTTATTCCAAGTATTTTTGTTGTTACTGTAAATGGAATTTATACTTTTATCTCATCTTTTAACTGGTTATTGTTTGTAATATGAATGCTTTTTTTTTTTTTTTTTTTTTGAGACGAAGTCTTGCTCTGCCGCCCAGGCTGCAGTGCTGTGGCATTATCTCAGCTCACTGCAAACTCTGCCTACTGGGTTCAAGTGATTCTTGTGCCTCAGTCTCCTGAGTAGCTGGGACTACAGGCATGCACCAACACGCCCGGCTAATTTTTGTATTTGGTTTCACCATGTTGGCCAGGCTGGTTTTGAACTCCTAACCTCAAGTGATCCACCCACCTGGACCTCCCAAAGTCCTGGGATTACAGGCATGAGCCACCGCGCCTGGCCACTTTCTTAATCACTTGATTGAGCTATCATTCATATGCCGCCAAGTTTATCTGTTTAGAGTGTACAATTCAGTGGTTTTTAGTATACTCACAAAGTTGTGCAACCATCCCTGCCATCTAATTCCAGAACATTGTCATCACCCCCAAAAGAAACCCCACCAGTAAGCAGTCACCGCTTATCACCGGTATCTCCCCACTCTACCGGCCCTAGGCAAGCACGAATCCGCTTCCTGTCTCTATAGATCTGCCCGTTCTGGAACCTACGGTATGTTATCTTTGCTGGCTGTCTCCTTTCACTTGGCATAATGTTTTTGCACTTAACCCATGCCGTAGCATGTATCGGCACTTCGTTTCTTTTTCCAGTTGAATAACATCTCATTGTTTGGATAGACACATCACATTTCGTTTATCCATTCATCAGCAGATAGACATTCGAGTTGTTTCCACATTTTGGCTGCATGAATCATGCTGCTATGCACATTCCTGTGCAAGTACGTGCAAACATATATTTGTGTTTCTTATTCCTTAAGTAGAAACCTCGGAGTAGAACTGCTGAGTCATATGGTAACTTGAGATTTAACATTCTGAGGAACTCCCAAACTATTTTACAAAGCAATTGCACCATTTCACATGGTAATATTTGAGGGATCTAATTTCTCCATGTCCTTGCCAACAGTTACTGTTGTCTTTTTTATTCTAGCTTCATAAGTGGGTGTGAAGTGGTATTTCATTGTGGTTTTGATTTGCATTTTGCTAATGACTACTGATGTGGAACATCTTTTCATGCATTTACTAGCTCTGTGTACCTCTTCTTTGGAGAGATGTGTATTCAGATCTTTTGACTATTTCTAAATTGATTTATTTGCATTTTATTATTGAAATGGAAGTGTTCTTTATTTTAAGATCTGAGGCCTAAAGAGTATTACTTTAATGATAATTTTATATCCTTCCTATTTCTGAATTCTTCTGTATTTGTATCAGTTACAGCTATAATTCTCTTGGGATTTCATCTGCAAACAGGAAGAATTTTACCTCTTTATTTCCAATTCTCAGACCTCTAATTGTTTTTCTTGTTTAATTAGCTAACGCCTAAAATACATTTTTTTTTTTTTTGAGACAGGGTCTTGCTCTGTTGCCCAGGCTGGAGTGCAGTGGCCTGATTTCAGCTCACTACAACCTCCGCCTCCTGGGTTCAAGCGATTCTCTTCCCTCAGCCTCCTGAGTAGCTGGGATTACAGGTGCGTGCCACCACGCCCAGCTAATTTTTGTATTTTTAGTAGAGACGGGGTTTCACCATGTTGGTCAGGCTGGTCTCGAATTCCTGACCTTGTGATCTGCCCACCTCGGCCTCCCAAAGTGTTGGGATTACAGGTATGAGCCATTGCGCCTGGCCAAATACATTGTTAAATAGTAGTAGAGATTGTGAACATTTTGCCTTATTTATGATTTTAGCAGGAATGCTTTCAGCATCCTATCAACTTAAAAATGGATGTTATCACTGACAACTGGGATTTTCTTTATCTTGTTGCTGCTGTATTTTCTATATTCTTTATTATATCTTTTCTTAACACTTTATTTTATAAAAGTTTTTCAGTCTGTTTTTAGCACATCTGTTTTATAAATTTTCTGTGTGTGTGTGTGTGTGTGTGTGTGTGTGTGTGTAGCTCTGTTTTTCTTTAAAGGCAAAATCATTAGAAATGCAGGAACCCTTTTGACTTCCTTCTTTCATGATGTCAGGGCTAAAAAGTTTCAGCAAATAATGGCTTCTTTAAAAAAAATCCAACCAAAAAAAACTTGAGAGGCATCTGAGTGGTACGCTCTCTGCATGACTTCCAAGGCTTCTTTTGTAAGCAGAACACATTACTGCTCAGTGGGTATGAAAAACCAGAGAAAAAAAGAGATGAATTTGACAGGAGAGTCCTCAGAGAACCAGAAGCTCTCCTGCAAACTAAATAATGCAAACTTATTTAAGCTGTGATACACTTTTTGCCTCATTTCAAGTCAGAATGTTTTAAAGAGACAATGTGTTTTTGAAAACGAGAAGAATTTTTTTGTGTGAAGTTTTCTTTACCTTGGTCCACTGTTATTATTACAGCAGAACTAGAAGATGTCTATAGTAGCTCGCTGTGTTTTAGGAATTTTCAGTAAAAGAAGACCCACGGCCAGATACATTTGGGTAAAATTTTGAATGATAAAGAGAAAACTTACTAGAAAGGAAAAAAAACTTTATATTCAAGAGAACAAGAATCAGCATGCCTTCCCTTATAACACTAAATACCGGAAGGCCTTACAGCAAAATGTTGAGAAAGATTCACAAGTACCTAGAAAACAAATTGCCATTTACCTTTCTCGAAAATTGACTTGACTATGTATATTAATATGGATAAATCTCAAAAGTGTGGTAAAAAAAAAAAGGAAATTCACTACTTAAACAGTTGAAGTTTGCTGTGTACTTTTCCCATCTCATTTCTTCCTCTTTACCCTAGAGAGTGCCACCATTTTTAACTTACTGTTTACCATTCCAATTCATAGTTATGCTACTATATTATATTCATAAATGTATTTTTAAACATAGTATAAATGTAATTATGTAACATATATTGCTTTGTAATTTGTTTTTTTTCCCTCTAGCATATGAATTTATTTATTTCTGAGACAAGGTCTCACTCTGTTGCCCAGGCTGGAGTGCAGTAGCATGATCATAGCTCACTGCAGCCTTGAACTGGGTTCAAGTGATCCTTCCGCCTCAGCTTCTAGAGTAGCTGGGACTACAGGCACATGCCACCATGCCTGGCTAACTTTTTTTTTTTTTTTTTTCAGTGGTGACATGGTCTTGCTATGTTGCCTCAGCTAGTCTCGAACTCCTGGGCTCAAGCAATCTTTCTGCCTTGGCCTCCCAAAGTGCTGGGATTAGAGGCGTGAGCCACCGCACCTAACCTATTTATTTGTTTAGTTTTGTTTTTCTAGTATATGAATTTAAATGCTGTATGGTAGTGGATTGTATAACTATACCACAGTATATTCATCCATTCTCCTGTCTATGCCCTTTAGAACCATTTACAATTTTTCTCACTCAGATGAATGCTGTAGTGAATCCTCTCATACATGTCTCCTTTTATTGCAGGGGTGTGAGAAGTTTTTCCAGGGTATAGGTTTTCCTTTTCTTTCTTTTTTTTTTTTTGTTCTTGTTTTTGTTTTTCAGACAGAGTCTCACTCTGTTACACACAATGGAGTGCAATAGCACAATATAATTCACTGCAGCCTCAACCTCCCTGGGCTCTAGCGATCCTCCCACCTCAGCCTCCTGAGTAGCTGGGACTACAGGTGTGCGCCACCATGCCTGGCTAATTTTTGTGTTTTATTTTATTTTCTTTTTTGAGATGGAGTTTTGCTCTTGTTTGCCTAGGCTGAAGCGCAATGGTGCGATCTCGGCTCACCGAAACCTCTGCCTCCCAGGTTCAAGTGATTCTCCTGCCTCAACCTCCTGAGTAGCTGGGATTATGGGCATGTGCCACCATGCCTGGCTAATTTTGTATTTTTAGTAGAGATGAGGTTCTCCATGTCGGTAAGGCTGGTTTCCAATTCCCGACCTCAGGTGATTCACCTGCCTTGGCCTCCCAAAGTACTGAGATTACAGGCATGAGCCACCACGCCCAGCCAATTTTTGTGCTTTTTGTAAAGATGGTGTTTCACCATGTTGCCCAGGCTGTTCTCGAGCTCCTGGGCTCAGGTGATCTGCCAGGGTATAGGTTTTAAAAGGGTGTATATTTAACTTTCATTTTTCTGATCCTTGTTGGTAGGAAATACAAGCAGATTATTTTCTGTTCCATTTCATTTGCTGACTCTTTTGGTTCTTATTTATTAATGTATTTTAATGTTCTTTATCCTATACATGAATTGCTTGTTAATTGCACTGTAACTATCTTATCTGAGTATGTTTTATCTTTTCGTTTTATTTTTAGTATCTTTTGTTAAACATATTTTAAGAATAGCTTTATTAAGATATAATTTGGCTGGCCTGATGGCTCACACCTGTAATCCCAGCACTTTGGAAGGCTGAGGCGGGCAGATCACCTGGGGTCAGGAGTTCGAGACCTGTCTGGCCAACATGGAGAAACCCCATCTCTACTAAAACTACAAAAATTAGCTGGGCGTGGTGGTGTGCACCTGTAATCCCAGCTACTTGTGAGGTTGAGGCAGGAGAATCGCTGGAACCCGGGAAGCTTAAGTTGCAGTGAGCCGAGATCGCACCACTGCGCTCCAGCCTGGGTGACAGAGCAAGATTCCACTGCAAAAAAAAAAAAAAAAGATATGATTTGCATACTATACAAGTTGCCAAATTGAACCGTATAATTCCATGGCTTTTAGTATATTTACAGAGTGGTATAACTATTGCCATGATGTTGGAACATTTCATCATCCCCAGAAAGAACTCTACACATTAGCAGTAACTCCATCTTCCTTACTCATAGGCAACTGCTAATCTACTTTCTGTCTCTTTGAATTTACCTATTCTGGACGTTTCATGTAAGTGGAATAATAAAATATGTGGTCTTTCATATCTAGTTTCTTTCACTTAGCATAATGTTTTCACAGTTCATGCTATATTTTGGCGGTGTCAAGGCTTCATTCTTTTTTTTTTTTTCCGATACAGAGTTTCGCTCTTATTGCCCAGGCTGGAGTGCAATGGTGCGATCTCAGCTCATTGCAGCCTCCATCTCCTGGGTTCAAGTGATTCTCCCACCTCAGCTTCCCAAGTAGCTGGGATTACAAGCATGCACCACCATGCCTGGCTAATTTTTTGTATTTTTTTTTAGTACAGACGGGGTTTCACCATGTTAACCAGGCTGGTCCCGAACTCCTGACTTCAGGTGATCCACCCACCTCGGCTTCCCAAAGTGCTGGGTCACTCATTCCCTTTTTTTTTTTCTTTTTTTTTTTGAGATGGAGTCTCACTGTTGCCCAGGCTGGAGTGCAGTGGCGTAATCTTGGCTCACTGCAACCTCCGCCTCCTGGGTTCAAGTAATTCTCCTGCCTCAGCTTCCCGAGTAGCTGGGATTACAGGTGCCTGCCACCATGCCTGACTAATTTTTGTATTTTTAGTAGAAACGGGGTTTCACCATGTTGTCCGGGGTGGTCTCGATCTCTTGATCAGCCTGCCTTGTGATCCTCCTGCGTCGGCCTCCCAAAGTGCTGGGATTACAGGCGTGAGCCACCGCACCCAGCGGATCTTTTTTTAAAGGTGGGAATTGATTTTTGTACATGGTGCTATGTAGGAATATAAATATATTTTTATATATTTGGATACCAAGCAGGATGACCAATTTTCCTGGTTTGCCTAGGGTTTTCAGGTTTTCTGGGCTGTGGGACTTTTCAGTGCTAAAACTGAGAAAATGCTATCAGTGGGGATGAGTTGGTACCCAAAGACCAAGTATCCTGCTATTTACTGAATAGTTCATTTTCTCCTTTGCTGATGCCACTTTTGTCACGTGTTGGTAAAGTTTTCTGGATTTTTTGCCTTTCACTGATATTAAAACGATAGGGTGTATTTTTGGACTAATTATGAATAACATTACTTTTGAAAGAAAATTTTCTTATAATAATTTTTTCTAAGAAAGTCTGAATTATTTGATTTCTCTGTCATTGACATGAGACTGTTTACAGCTTTGGTTTCACACTTTTTTAACACAAAATTCAGTGCCACATTTTATATCAATATTTGACCCCATTGTAGCTACAATTGTTACTTGTTTCCTGGGTCTTTCCTCTGGGTTCCCTTTTATCCCTCTGAACTAGGCCCTTTCTTCAGTTCTTTTAGGTTTGCAGGCAATAAACGTGGTTGGCCTTCGTATGTCTGAGAATGTCTTATTTTACCCACACTCTTGAATTATGGTTTGACTTAGTTTTCAGTTACTTTTCTCCAGCACTTTGAAGACATTGCTCTATTGTCTCTTCTACACACACCTAAGTGCTACAGAAGTGTTGGCTATGGTGGTGATGATAGTGTCTAGGTACAGATTATTTTATTTGTCCTACTTGTTACCTGTAGGAGGAGCCTGCTCTGGGACATGCCCCGCCCTCTAACCTTACACTATCCCTGGACAATATGCTGTTCAGGTCAGCATGTCAGCTGCCTAACACACCCTGCGCACGAGGCAGCAGAGAAAGGAAGGAGGGGAAGGTTTGAACATCAACTGGAGTCTCACCTGCACTCGGACATCCTGCACATCTCTAGGAGGATCGTCTCGTTTCCACACTGAGACCTACGGGCAGAGTGAGAATATAGGCCCCTAAACGCAGTCTGGCCACCACTGCTGTTTTCCTCCTCTAGGGCAGGCCCTGGACACCCACGCATTTCCTCTGCCCACGACCAGCGCCTCTCCTCTGGCTTCCTGCAGAGCTGTCCAGATTCCTACCAGGGCTGAAGTCTCACCTTGACACTGCCTAGCTGTCAGCCCCGGCCACATGTTTCCTCTTGCTGTGGGAATGAAGAGACCATCAGTATCGGGATCCCCCTGGTGGATGTTCTACTGCTGTGTCCCTTCCACTAGATTGGAACTTCTTGGAAATGAATAGTAGCCTGAGTTGGGCAGGAGCCACCAAACTTCCCCGGGCATTTTATTTTCAGCCTCCAATCTCCTTCCCAGGGATCAGTTCTGTTAGTTCCATTTTGCGGTTCGTGATCAGTCCAATATCAGTTTTTCTTCTTTTCCACAGGACAGTGAGGTCTTGGTCTAACTTATTGCCAAGCCTACATAAATTTAGGATGATTTGATTGCCCAGAGTGGTTCACAGATTTGGCTGACACTAAGCACTTTTCATATCCAAGACTCCAAAGATGTAACGTAAAGTTCCTATGATTTTTAGGTGTAAATTATCTCCTTTTCTCCAGACCTTTAACAGCTACTCAAAGGGTCACGGATGTTTTACATCCTTTTTAAAGCAATGACTGTCTGTGTGTCTTTCTCTACCCAGTAAGTTAGCATATATTTTAATATTTGTCTCTATTTGAAACACATATTTTGACATTTCTCTTTATTACAAAACAAAATTTATGAAATGGAAGCAGCAGAAGGTAAAATCCAGGCTCCCTTTACTTCATCGTCCTAACCTTTAAGACCCATCTTAGATCCTAAGCCTTCATTACCCCAGGAGTGCCCCTAGTTCAATTCTTTCTAACCATTTCTGCCCAAATGTTGATAGTCAATCGTGAACCGCCTGAGGTTGTTCTTTAGTTGTTTAACACACGGTGGCCTGATTTGAGGGATCTAAGCATAAGCCCCTTGAGAGGTAGTCAGATGTAGCCTGTTGTTATTTCTGGGGTGTCCCTCTGTGTCAGGCATATAGTAGTTGCTTAAAAAACACTGAATTAACGGTAAGCTACCACCACTATTCAGAGGTGCCACTTCCCAGTCAGGGGCACATTAATTAAAAAGTCTGAAACCTTACCATGAGCAGCTACAACAGCAGCACCAGCAGAAGCAGCATGCGTTAGACCCGCGACTCCCCGCTCCGGGCTGGCCTGGGGCGGCGCCTGGTGCGTCCTGGGCGAGGGGCATCTGCCGCTTCCGCATCTCCATCCGCTCTGATCCCATCGGCTGCAAGAGGGAGAGGAACAAAGCGGAGGGGGTTCCAGCGTTATGAAGGCGTAAGCCCAGGGAGTCAGCTGTCTGGATCATTGAACAGATATAGTGCGACTATATTCAGGTCATTTTTGCTACTTCTCGTAAAATTTAGTGCTTAGAATCTTAGGATCAATTAATGTATCCAACATGTAATGCTTATCCTCTGCCAAGCACTGAGATACATTCCAGGGATAAGCTAGCAGATGGAAGGCCCCGCCTTAGGCGCTCACAGTTCAGTAAAGGAGACAGAAACGCACACGCACTGAAGACTCCGCAGGCAGTGCTACGCAGGGCCGTTCCCAGCTCCGGGCATCCCTGTGGCCTGAACCAAAGAGGGGCAGGGATGGTGGCTGCTTCATGACGCTGCCTGTGAGGCCAACACGCAAATATGGGAGGAGGTCAACATGGGAAGGGCGGCCCGGCTAATACAGCGACTGAGGAGAGGTCAGAAGAGAAGGGGAGTCCTGGAGGCCAGAATGGCCGGAGTCACCTTTCCTAGCTGCGTCACCTTGCAGAAGTGATCGAAATTGGGATGTGGAAGCATTCAGAACCCCGCCTGGTATAGAGTAATTGCTCAATTATTCCCAGGAAGCCAGGCAGGAGAGCCAGACTGTGGCCTGCCCAGACCTGTCTTGCCATACCAGGGACGGTCACCCTCGCCTACTTCAGTGGAGGCCAAGCCATACGACACAAAAGATCTGTGCCCTTCAGCCTCTGCCCTGTTGTTGGGGACTCCAAGAATGTGAAAGAAGAGAGATATAGAAGCAGCAAGACAAGCAATAAATTGCTAAGCCCATTATACATTGGATACTATCACTTGATGGAGCTAATTGCAAGCTAAAATCAAGGACACACACATTAAAGAACCATAGATAGGACTTTGGAATTAATTTCTGGATCTATTATTCTATTTCAACATTAGATTTGTCTGTTCCTATTGATTATTACCTAATCCTCTATACTACTGGACTTTGTTCTAATTATTTTATTTATTTTTATTTTTAAAATTAAACTTTAAGTTCTGGGATACATGTGCAGAATGTGCAGGTTTGTTACATAGGTATACACGTGCCATGGTGGTTTGCTGCATCCATCAACCCATCATCTACATTAGGTATTTCTCCTAATGCTATCTCTCCCGTAGCCCCCCACCCCCTGACAGGCCCCAGTGTGTGATGTTCCCCTCCCTGTGTCCATGTGTTCTCATTGTTCAACTCCCACTTATGAGTGAGAACATGCAGTGTTTGGTTTTCTGTTCTTGTGTTAGTTTGCTGAGAATGATGATTTCTAGCTTCATCCATGTTCCTGCAAAGGACATGAACTCATCCCTTTTTTATGACTGCATAGTATTCCATGGTGTATATGTGCCACATTTTCTTTATCCAGTCTATCATTGATGGGCATTTGGGTTGGTTCCAAGTCTTTGCTATTGTGAACAGTGCTGCAATAAACATACATGTGCATGGGTCTTTATAGTAGAATGATTTCTAATCCTTTGGGTATATACTCAGTAATAGGATTGCTGGGTCAAATGGTATTTCTGGTTCTAGATCCTTGAGGAATCGCCACACTGTCTTCCATAATGGTTGAACTAATTCACACTCCCACCAACAGTGTAAAAGTGTCCCTGTTTCTCCACGTCCTCTCCAGCACCTGTTGTTTCCTGACTTTTTAATGATTACCATTCTAACTGGTGTGAGATGGTATCTCATTGTGGTTTTGATTTGCATTTCTCTAATGACCAGTGATGAAGAACTTTTTTTCATATGTTTGTTGGCTGCATAAATGTCTTATTTTGAGAAGTGTCTATTCATATCCTTTGCCCACTTTTTGATGGGGTTGTTTTTTTCTTGTAAATTTAAGTTCCTTGTAGATGCTGGATAATTAGCCTTTTGTCAGATGGATAGATTGCAAAAATTTTCTACCATTCTGTAGGTTGCCTGTTCACTCTGATGATAGTTTCTTTCACTGTGCAGAAGTTCTTTATTTTAATTAGATCCCATGTGTCAATTTTTGCTTTTGTTGCCATTGCTTTTGGTGTTTTAGTCATGAAGTCTTTGCCCATGCCTATGTCCTTAATGGTATTGCCTAGGTTTTCTTCTAGGGTTTTTATGGTTTTAGGTCTTATGTTTAAGTCTTTAATCCATCTTGAGTTAATTTTTGTATAAGGTATAAGGAAGGGGTCCGATTTCAGTTTTCTGCATATGGTAGCCAGTTTTCCCAACACTATTTATTAAATAGGGAATCCTTTCCCCATTCCTTGTTTTTGTCAGGTTTGTCAAAGATCAGATGGTTGTAGATGTGTGGCATTATTTCTGAGACCTCTGTTCTGTTCCATTGGTCTATATATGTATTTTGGTACCAGTACCACGTTGTTTTGGTTATTGTAGCATTGTAGTATAGTTTAAAGTCAGGTAGCATGATGCCTCCAGCTTTGTTCTTTTTGCTTAGGATTGTCTTGGCTATACAAACTCTTTTTTGGTTCCATATGAAATTTAAAGTAGTTTTTTCCAATTCTGTGAAGAAAGTCAATGGTAGCTTGATGGAGACAGCATTGAATCTATAAATTACTTTGGGCAGTATGGCCATTTTCAGGATATTGATTCTTCCTGTCCATGAGCATGGAATGTTTTTCCATTTGTTTGTATCCTCTCTTATTTCCTTGAGCAGTGGTTTGTAGTTCTCCTTGAAGAGGTCCTTCACATCCCTTGTAGGTTGTATTCCTAGTATTTTATTCTCTTTGGAGCAATTGTGAATGGGAGTTCAGTCATGATTTGCTCTGTTTGTCTATTATTGGTGTATAGGAATGCTTGTGATTTTTGCACATTTTGTATCCTGAGACTTTGCTGAAATTGCTTATCAGCTTAAGGAGATTTTGGGCTGAGATGATGAGGTTTTCTAAATATACAATCATGTCATCTGCAAACAGAGACAATTTGACTCTCTCTCTTCCTATTTGAATACCATTTATTTCTTTCTCTTGCTTGATTGCCCTGGCCAGAACTTCCAATACTATGTTGAACAGGACTGATGAGAGAAGGCATCCTTGTCTTGTGCCAGTTTTCAAAGGGAATGCCTCCAGCTTTTGCCCATTCAATATGACATTGACTGTGGGTTCATCATAAATAGCTCTTATTATGTTGACATACATTCCATCAATACCTAGTTTACTGAGAGTTTTTAGCATGAAGGGGTGTTGAATTTTATCGAAGGCCTTTTCTGCATCTATTGAGATAATCATGTGGTTTTTGTCATTGGTTCTGTTTATGTGATGGATTGTGTTTATTGATTTGCATATGTTGAACCAGCCTTGCATCCTAGGGATGAAGCTGACTTGATGGTGGTGGATAAGCTTTTTGATGTGCTGCTGGATTTGGTTTGCCAGTATTTTATTGAGGATGTTCGCATTAATGTTCATCAGGAATATTGGCCTGAAATATTCTTTTTTTGTTGTGTCTCTGCCAGGTTTTGGTATCAGGATGATACTGGAATCAAGTTCCTCTTTTTCTATTGTTTCTATTGTTTGGAATGGTACCAGCTCCTCTTTGTACCTCTGGTAGAATTTGGCTGCGAATCCATATGGTCCTGGGCTTTTTTTGGTTGGTAGGCTACTAATTACTGCTCAATTTCAGAACTTGTTATTGGCCTATTCAGGGATTCGACTTCTTCCTGGTTTAGTCTTGGGAGGGTGTATGTATCCAGGAATTTACCCATTTCTTCTAGATTTTCTAGTTTATTTGTGTAGAGGTGTTTATAATATTCTCTGATGGTAGTTTATATTTCTGTGGGATCAGTGGTGATGTCGGCTTTATAATTTTTTTATTGTGTCTATTTGATTCTTCTCTCTTTTCTTCTTTATTAATCTGGCTAGTAGTCTATTTTGTTGATCTTTTCAGAAACCGGTTCCTTGATTCATTAATTTCTTTGAAGGATTTTTTGGTGTCTGTAACTCCTTCAGTTCTGCTCTGATCTTAGTTGTCTGTTGTCTTCTGCTAGCTTTTGAATTTGTTTGCTCTTGCTTCTCTAGTTCTTTTCATTGTGATGTTAGGGTGTCCATTCTAGATCTTTCCTGCTTTCTCCTTTGGGCATTTAGTGCCAAAATTTCTCTCTAAACAGTGCTTTAACTGTGTCCCAGAGATTCTGGTATGTTGTGTCTTTGTTCTCATTGGTTTCAAAGAACTTATTTATTTCTGCCTTAATTTCGTTATTTACCCAGTAGTCATTCAGGAGCAGGTGGTTCAGTTTCCATGCAGTTGTGCAGTTTTGAGTGAGTTTCTTATTCCTGAGTTCTAATTTGATTGCACTGTGGTCTGAGAGACTGTTTATTATGATTTCCATTCTCTTGCATTTGCTGAGGAGTGTTTTACTTTCAATTATGTGGTCAATTTTAGAATAAGTGCAATGTGGTGCTGAGAAGAATGTATATTGTGTTGATTTGGGATGGAGAGTTCTGTAGATGTGTATTAGGTCCGCTTGGACCAGAGCTGAGTTCAAGTCCTGAATATCCTTGTTAATTTTCTGTCTCATTGATCTGTCTAATATTGACAGTGGGGTGTTAAAATCTCCCACTATTATTGTGTGGGAGTCTAAGTCTCTTTGTAGGTCTCTAAGAACTTGATTTATGAATCTGGGTGCTTCTGTATTGGGTGCCTATATGTTTAGGATAGTTATCTCTTCTTGTTGCATTGATCCCTTTACCATTATGTAATGCTTTTCTTTGTCTTTTTTGATCATTGTTGGTTTAAAGTCTGTTTTATCAGAGACTAGGATTGCAACCCTTGCTTCTTTTTGCTTTCCATTTGCTTAGTAAATATTCCTCCATGCCTTTATCTTGAGCCTACGTGTGTCTCTGCACTTGAGATGGGTCTCCTAAATACAGCACACCAATGGGTCTTGAACTTTACCCGATTTGCCAGTCTGTGTCTTTTAATTGGGGCATTTAGCTTGTTTACATTTAGGTTTAATATTGTTTT